AATACATATAGACGTACGAAAAATTTTTTGTGTAAAAAAAATCTATATTCTAGGAACTATAATGTTAAAAAAATTTTCAATTTCAAATTATAGTGCATATCTTGCCCTACAGTCCACTTTTTACCAAAACCGCCTACGACTCTCCGTTCAGAAGTTATAAGCGCTTTTTCATTATTCAACATAGCTTTACCTTGAAATTTTAATTTTTAGAAACAGTTCTTCAACAACAACAAACATTTTTTTCAACACAAATTATAGTATAAGCGTTTCTCTAAAACTCAGTTTTTACCAAAACCGCCTACGACTCTCCGTTTAGAAGTTATAAGCATTTTTCCATTCGGCAGCCGCCTACTGTTGACTTCTGGGCGCCTGGCAGCGCGACAGGCAAAATGGTCAGCGGAAATAACCAATATTTCAAGCAAAACTCCTGCGGGTATGCTACACTTGCGTATTTGAACATATTTGTGTGTGTGTGTCAACATTGAAAAATGCAATTTCCAGCCACTTCGCCAGTCGTGCTATCAGGCGCCCGGAAGTCAGCAGTAGGCGGCTGACAAATGGAAAAACGCTTATAACTTTTAAACGGAAAGCCGTATCGGATTGCGGCAAAAACTGAGTTTTAGATAAACGCATGCGCTATAGTTTGCGATTAAAAAAGTTTTTGTTTTTGTAGCAGAACTTTTTATAAAAATTAAAACTGCAACTTAAAGCTATAATGACAAGTGGAAAAGTGCTTATAACTTCTGAACGGTGAGTCGTAGGCGATTTCTGTAAAAACTGTGTTTTAGCGAAAATCATGTGCTATAACGCGAAATTAAATAAGTTTTTGTTGTTGTTGCAGAACTTTGTATAAAAATTAATTTATTAAAAAAAATCTTATGCCCTGAGGAAGTACTTTCTCGTCGATTCTAGTTACGGCGATTATAGAAAAAAATACACATATTTTATAAAAGAGGCTTCATTTATTGTAAACAAATTTTCAGTATAATTTTGCATGAATTTTGACTTTTTCTGTAAATTAAATAAAGTATAAATAAATAGGTTGTGTTTTAACTAATCCTGCTTGCATCTCAGCAACCCTCGTTTCTCATATTGTGCAGCCACAGTCTGCTGATCCGCTGCCACCACGCTCCGCTGCTATAGATTTGATCATGCGACACATTAGCTCACGGCAAGTGCTCTCCCGACTTTTACCCACCGCCACGACCTCAGCGTGATTGGCATACTCTTTCTTTTCGTAGTCCAGTGATGACTTGTTGGTGATAAGACTGAATGCGAACACCTTCAGACCACAGTGCTGGGCCACGACCACCTCATGTGCGGTCGACATGCCGACAGCATCTACGCCACAAGTGTGCAACATCTTACACTCAGCAATGGTTTCATAGTTAGGACCACCTAGAAAGCAATATGTGCCCACCTTAACCACATCCGGTATACCCATCTCTTTGGCTATACCGAGAGCGCGCTTAATCAA